GATTAAAAGATTAAGAGAGTATTTATTTTTAAAATTTCATAAACAACTATCACAATCAAACAAATTAAATATTTTTAATTACAAATGATAATAATTATTGGGCGGCAAATATTAACTTACACTTAAAACAATTCATCCAAACACTCATTAAATAGTTAAAGAATCTGCCTTCTTTACTTTTTCAGGAAATTATGCATTATTGACAAATAACATGAATTATCCTCCATGGGTCCATCCAAAACCGGCAAATGCAGTGTTTTTCTCCTGATTTGAAAGACACCACTTACGTTGTTAATGTTTCAGTAAAAAAGAGCTTCAAACTTGATGTTGAGAATCATAGCAAATCAGGGAAATAATAATAATAATAATAATAATAATAATCTCGAATCCGATGTAGACCTCAAAGCTGAGCTGTTAAACTAAGCTAAGCCAATAGCTGTACAGCTAAAGCTTTACTAATTAAATTGTGCATTAAGAAAAGGGAATTTTGTTTTACAGATCCAACGGCTGAGAGTGATGACAATAGTGGTTCTGTGCAAGACTTATCTTCATGACTTGACTCAGTAGCTGTACAGAGACAGCGTTGCAGGGAGATGGTATAAAAACGTTGTGATAAAAATGCGGGACCAACTCACCATTAATGCAATTCTTCCCATCTTCTCATAATCTCATTCTGCCCTTCACCCCTTGCTATCTTTTTGGTCCATAACATCTCTTTTCTTTTTTCCACTTGCAGAATTGCAAGTAACCAACAAATCCCAAATCTTTATCCAAAACGTAGTCAAAGTAATCGGCTTTAAGCCTAAAACGAGAACCCATCTGTTTGTATCTTCTTTTTCAACATTTGGGTCTTTGTGATTTGCAGCGGAAAGGTGATTTTTTTTTTTTTTTATTCCTTTTGGCCTTGTTTAATGTTACAGGCTTCCAGCCCGTGGGTTTTCTCATTTTGTGCCACTTTTTCCTTTACTCTTTTTTGTTTTTTGTTTTTGTTTTTTTTTTTTTTT